TCTTCGATGCTTTGAAAGTTGTCTTCGTCGAACCACGGTTGAAAGCAGAATTGCATCATGGATATCCACGAGGTTCGAAATCTTGTTCGAATCACCAGATCCTCGTTGAATGTGGTTCGTTGAAAGCGTTGCATAGAGCGTCGTATCGTCTCTTGTCCCACCTTCTCGGTGAATTCGCCGAATGTAACGTCACGGTCAGATATCGCATCCAGCCACATCTATCATTGATTTAGTGTGTAGCAGAAGTGATTGAATGAATGAATCAAACGAAGATTCGTATGAGCATTCACTTAAATCACTTTGAGAGGTTCAGTGATTCTGTGATAAGTCGTATTGTTGAAATGATAAGTTGTATTGTTGAAATAGAAGCAAATCGAGTTTCTAGAAGATACTTTGATCATTTTACGTTTATCAGCTAATCTCGCTTGTGTGCGAAAGACATTTATGGATCTTGCACAACCATTTGCCGTGGTTTCCCGTTCCATACTATTCAGTGTTGCGATCACCTCGTATGCCTCCATGACAAGTCGAAAATCCCAAGGATCTTTCAAGAAACTATCATGATCAGTCATATTCAATAGATTGTCCTGAAATTGGAATTTAAAAATTCAATGAAGAAAGTGTTCTTGGTTTGTTAGCGGTTGGTGATGGAGTTGTGAACGTTTTGTTAGTTCATGAATTGTAAGTGAAACTATAGTATTAACGTATTTTTTGTTCACTCATATATTCTCTTTATTCAACCTCAGCAATAGGCAATTAACCGTTAGATCACAAAGAGCACATCAGAGTGTGTGTGGAAGGAAATTCAGATCACGAACATACGTCAGATATATTTGAAGTAAATTAAGAACGTATCACAAATCCGAGATTATATCGCCCACTTATATTGGTCTATTACGTAATATTGCAGTGCGGTATCAGAGAGCTTTTTAGCCCATATTAGTCTGATAAGTCTTGCAAGCATATTGTGATCATTTTTGGATTGTACGAGCATGCGATTGATTACTAGTGCTCAAAAAAAACAGAAGAGAGTCTATTGATAAAAAGTTCTTCACTTGTACGATTTGATCCCATTGATCTGTGGATTCTGAGGTGTTGATGTGAAAATGACTCCACGCCTGAGTCTTAGACATGCAAAATGTGATATTTGGCATTGTCATTGACTCGTTGAACATCATGTTCATGTCGGATTGTTTTGGATTTGCAGCATATTCGAGTATCTGAATCGTAAACAATTTCCAAATCTTAAGTTTCGTCATTGTTTGTCAGCTTCTTCGCAGTTAACGTCTGATTGTAATGAAGTCTGTGCATTTTCATTTTGGACTGAACATTTAGATGCTCTGAATTTACATACTTCCGACAGAATTCAAAGCTTTTCAACTTGAAATTTGGTATGATGCTTTCGAAAACGGATATCAACATGGCACTATAAGATGTGGATAAGGATTTGACTAGATCAGAGTTTTGTTGTGGTATTCATTAGAGTGGAATTGGAACTCACCAACTCAATGACATCCTTCATCGTCAACGCAGAAAGAAAAGCAACAATAAACCAGAATGCCCATTTTCGCATTCTCTTACCAAAGAAACACTCCCTCCAGTTCATTTCTCTTAGCATTGACACCCTCTCTTCGAGCATTATTCTTGTTCGCAACTGTCACACGATTCCTGTGCAAATGGCATTGTCGAATGAATGTTTTCAATTAAATTTAGCAGAAGCAAAGAGAGAAGCTGCAAATTAGAGCGGTTGAAAATCAATCAGCTGATCAAGTAAGAGATCACTTGTTTGTAGGTTTGGGTTCGAATAAAAATGATTCTGATAATTATTTCAAGTATATCGCTAGAGATAATGGTCATTCAATTCAGCACAGCACATTAATGTAATACAGTGGCATTGTTAGCTGTGACAAAGCGGTAGAGGTTA